TGTCTTCATTCCATCGCGTGCTCTCATGCTGTCTCTCTCTCTCTCTCTCTCTCCCTCATGCTGTCTCTTTCCTCCTCATGTCTGCGTGTGCGTCACATAGTGGCGCATTTAGTCCTTGTTGCGCAGAGTGTACGTGTTGAGTGCTCCGTGGTGTGCAAAGGAAGGATACGTGTGTGGCTCGCTCTTTTGTTCCCGCCCATATCCACACACACACACACACACACACATATATATATATATATATATATATATATATTAAAATAAATATCCCTTCGTATCTCTCCGTTGCGTTGCTGTTGGCACATGTCGACAGTGAATCGGNATATATATATATATATTAAAATAAATATCCCTTCGTATCTCTCCGTTGCGTTGCTGTTGGCACATGTCGACAGTGAATCGGCTGCGGTGCCTCGAGAAGCTCGGTGAGGGCACGTACGGCGTCGTCTACAAAGCAAAGGAGCTCGCCACGGGGCAGATCGTCGCGTTCAAGCGCATGATAGTCAGCAGCGAGGATGAGGGCGTGCCCGCGACCGCCATCCGTGAGGTGTGTCTCCTCAAGGAGCTCCGGCACAAGAATATTGTGTGTTTCCATGACGTGCTCTTCGAGCCGCCCAAGATGACGCTTATATTCGAATACTGCGAGTGTGACCTTAAGAAGTACATGGAGCGCAATCGCGGCAGCGTGATACGTGAGGCGCCGCAGATATTGAAGCAGATGCTCTTAGGGCTGCGCTACATGCACCGTCGCAGCGTTGTGCATCGCGACTTGAAGCCGGAGAACGTCCTCATCAACATTAATCGCGTCGGACGAGGCGCGAATAACGGCTCAACAGCAACTGTTAGGGGCGATGGTGCTCCAGTGGCGATACCACAGGGTCTTAGCAACGGTGCCAACCCCGCCCACAATGCCGGGTCTAATCGCGGCGCCTCGGTAGACCACAATAACAAGGACAACAACAACAACGACGACGGCAGAAAACCCGCTGACAACGCCAGCGGCGATGGAAGTGGAAACGATGGCACTCAACTCGTGGTGAAGCTGGGCGATTATGGCTTGGCGCGGGTGGAGAACATCCCGGTGAAGAAGTACTCCCACGACGTCGTGTCGCTGTGGTACCGGAGCCCAGATGTGATAATGGGGTCGGCGCTCTACGGATTTGCAGTGGACATGTGGTCCATCGGCTGCATCTTTGTGGAGATGTTCACCGGCAAGCCGCTGCTGAGCGGGCGCACCGACGTGGATCAACTCGTCCGCATTTTCCACCTGCTCGGTACACCCACACCGGAGACGTGGCCATCAATGATGAGTTACCCGAAAGTCACACAAATGATTGAGGCGGCAACGGAGTTTGTGCGGGAGCAGCTACGGACGACGAGTGCCCATCAACAACAGCAAGACTTCGTTGCTGCGCGGCGGCCGAAGAACGTCCAACAGGAGGCGACACGGCACAGCAGCAACGAGCCCAATGCGGCTGGAGTCTCCGCGCACTCATCGGACGGGGACACCATCTGCAACAGCACTATCAACCAAAACAATATTAATAACGAATCGATGGATCCTCCACGGAAGGAGTACAACTTCCGCCCCGAGTTACAGTTCCCGCCAGCGCTAGGTGAGTACTTGGAGGTGTCACACTTCCGTGAACGCGCCGGTGACGACGGCGTGGACTTGCTGCGGAAATTACTTCAATACGAGCCGTCGCATCGGCTAACGGCGCACGAGGCGCTGTGTCACCCATTCTTGAAGAACGTGACAGCGCCAGTGCAGCGGCCTATCGATGCGATGCAAGCCCTCCTGCGGCAGTCACTGGAGGAACACGGCCTGCTGGACATGTGTGACGCATAATTATTTCTGGATATGAATGTAAAGTGAAAGAGGAAGTCAGGGTTTGTGTTGTAATAGTCTTAGGGCCGCTACTGCTGCTGCTATTGGTGCCGCTTTCCTTCCCTTCCCCATGGTGATGTTGTTTTATTGGTGATTTTTTTTTTTCTTTGTGGCATCTCCCTCACCCTCCCTCACTCTCACACACACGCACACTCACCACCCTCCTGTGGGGTGGAGTGTGCCTCTGTGGAAGCAGACCCCACGCGTCCATGTATTTTCTCTACGTGTATTTGTTAGATTATTTGTTTCCTCGCCTCTTCGCACGGTCCCTCTCTCTCTCTCTCTCTCTTGCTCTCCTCACCCCCCGCCTGCCCGTGATTGCGCGTGCAGTAAATGCTTGGAGCAGCAGCGCACGTCGCCATCCACGCACCCACCCCCTTCCCCAACCAATTCCCTCTCTTCATCCCTCTCTGCTGCTGTTATGGCCGTTGTTGTTCCGCATTCCCGCGACTTCGCCGGGGTCGGGCAGCGACGGAGGACATTTACAGCCGCCTTCACGCAAACTGCTGAGCGGAAAGTATATGACAGCGAAAGGAAAAGAACTAAGAGAAGAAGAAGAAGAAAAGAAACGAAAACACACAGAGGGGGAGAAAAACCACCAGAGAGATATGTGAAGCCCCCCTAAGAAGAACTGAGGAATTTAAGTAAGAGGGCATAAAGACGAATTTAAAACAAAAATAAAAAAGCAAAAGAAAAAAAAAAGCAAAACAAAAAAAAGAAGGAAGAGGAGGGCGCAAAGGTTCTGCTTCTTAGATCCTACTTTCTTGAGGCCGCCAGGCTCTTCTGGAGGCAATCAAACCGAAATATATAAAAGCACGCACAGAGAGAGAGAGAGGGAGAGACAAAAACGCACAGGGAGTGTGCGAAATTCGAAAGTGGCGAAAAAAAAAAAGAAAAAGAAAATAAAAGGAAAAATAATAAAAAAACAAATGAAAAATGTTTTCTATGCAAATGATTCGGTCACTCAGTATCATCGAGGCCGGCTTATATTTCTGAGACCTTTTTCTCTCACACTGTCCCTTTCACGTATATGTACTCCGCTTGTCTGTCCATCTGTCTATCTACTGCTGCTGCTCCAGCACTCATGTTGACTGCGTCCTCCTTTCCTCTTCTTCTTCTTCCTCCTCCCGTCCCGCCGTTGCCTCTGTTGTGGTGCGTCTGCGCCTGTCCTGGAAGGAGGCAGTGAAGGGGAAGGTGGGGGAACGAGGGGAAAACAGAGAAGGAAAGAGGGCGAAAGCAAAACAAGCATATATATATATATATA